TCACATCACTGCTACAAATACTTCTTTATTCAGTCACAAATCTTTCCCAAGATATTTAAGGGGAACAAAAAAGAAGCAATACTGAGAAATCTAGGCAAAATTATTTTTTGAAATACGAGAAGCCATTTAAGATATAAAGTAGTCCTCAAGTTTTCAGTGTACAGGTGAAAAAAAAAATTGAAAGGCATCAATTTTTTCAATAAAAGAGAAACTTGCATAAGCATTCAAACAAAACCACTTCAGTATTTAATGAGTTTATTCTGATTAGAAGCACGGGTGATTTGTAAGAACATCACTGCTGGCAGAAAAAAGGGACTGTGAAAATCTCAGTTTGTTAAGGATGCACAACTGGCCACAGACAAGAGCCCACTACCAACAGAAGTGCTCAAAACAGCTCCCTCATTTTACAGCCTGGCAGAGGACAGATGCCAGCTGTAGCCACACTGAATTAAGAGAGGAAATAAGGAAACTAAGTTTCTCAGAATATTTAGCATCTGAAGCCTGCACCCCTGAAAACATTTAGTCCTTCAAATGGAAGCATATCACACTTAACATAAAACCCCATATTACACCAGTTTCAGCATCTGCCTGAACTCACATGGAACACTCAGAAGTTATAACAGCACTTTTGTATTTGAATTTATTCTACCAGGACTGATTTCTTTTCATTACATATTTAATATAATAAACTTATTTCCAAATATACTATGTTTATTCCTAACTAATAATTATATGGTGCTAATAATAGAAGCTAGTAGCTCTGTTGTGTTCTCCCACAGTTTTCCCCACATTACAAATGCAAGCAGATTGTGTTTATTTTGCCAAAGAACTCTCATCACCAGGTGTATGTGTATATTTTTAAATACTCAAAATCCTACATTTTTTAAGCTGAAAATGAACAAAAAATTTAGCTTGTATTTTTAAAAATACAAGCTAATACTGCAGAATAGAAGACTCAAACTGAAAAAAAAGGAAGTTAATATTCTAAAAAGTAAACCCAGGGGACCACAGAGAGGCTCAAACACTGCACTTGTTCCATTTCCATTTGAATAAATAGTTCACAACAATACCAGCTGAACGTGGAACACTTTATAAACAGGCATAACAACAGGACCCAAGGGAAAAGCAGCTCCCTAGAAGTTCAAACATTTTCCATGGATGTGCAAGATCTCAGCAATTATAAATGAGTCTAAAGGACCAAGAAGGTTAAACTAACAGAATATTGTCTGGCATTTTCAACTCCTTCACACAAATACTGACCAAGTGCAGAACACAAACCCTTTTCTGTACTTTGCCATCAGCTAAAACTGCTCTGCAGAAAGATGTTCCCTTTAGCCAGAACTAAGGTGGCTCTGGCTTTGTTGAGGTCAAGAAAAGTTGACTCCAAGAAAACTCTTGGCTCTGCCATCTCTTGCACTGGGTCACCAGTTCAGAGTCTCCACATTCACCTCATTGCATCTGAATTTTAAAGCTCAGACCCAGACTAAGTCTGAGCCTTGGTGTTTTCAACAACTGCCCAAAACAACAGCTCCTCTGCAGAGCAGATTCATGTTTGAAGAGCCATGCCTGCCTGGGGACTTAAACACCTTCTAGCAGCACAGATCATCCCCATGAAGCAACAAAATCCAAGGCAGATGATTTTGTTGCAAACAAGCACCCTCTTGAAAAACAGGTGCCATACAGACACTCCAAATGAGGTCAAGAGCAAACAGGCCTGAGTTAAATTAAGCATTAAACCACTGAGTCACTTCAAAAGCAGATGAAGGATGTCTTTTTAAAAAAATAATCTTTTACTACCCTTGCTCAATCTATAAACATGTGTCAGAAATATTTGGGTTTTGAAGGTGGAATTAGCAGAAGTTGGCACCTGCAGAAAGAGACAGGCACCACCAGCAAAAGCATAACAAGGCTTGAATTTTTTTTTAATGTTACACAACTTTATGGAAAACTTTGTAGCTTGCCAGTTCAGAGAATACATGAAAAAGAAATAAAGCATTGCACTGCAGCTAAACTCAGTGTGCCCTTAGGACTCTGATTCCATCAGAGAGCACAATATAGAAATTCTGTATGTATTCAAAGAATATTTGTAAGAGAACAGTGAAAAGGATTTTCTTTTCAACTACATCAGCTTACTTTGATTTCTCTTCTCTCATGACTGTATCCTTTTAGCTTCCAGTAAAGGCTGTGCCACACAACTAGCTCTTCAAAGGAACTTCTAATAGACAACATAAAATTCTCTTGCTCCTACCAGGCATAGAGAGGTCACCTCTGCTGTAATATTCCACAACTGGAATGGAATGGTTTGGGTCAGAAGGGACCTTAAATAACATCTGTTCCCACCCCCCAGCCATGGGCAGGGACACCTTCCCCTGGAGCAGGTACCTCAAAGCCCCTGGAGCACTGCCAGGGATGGGGCACCCACAGCTTCTCTGGGCAGCCTGTGCCAGGGCCTCACCACCCTCATATCAGAGAACTTCTTCCTACTATCTAATCTAAACCTACCCTAACCCAGTTTAGAACCACTACATATTTAAATATCAAATGCTTCTTGGAACTGCTCTGCTGCCCCCAGCCCACCTGCAGCTGGAATCAGGGTTTAGTGCATGTGTCAGAGGGGAACATGTTCCCTGCTCCAGCTGAGGGCTGATGATTACACCCACTGCCTACACAATAACCATGTATTTGCATATTTTAAGAAATTCTATTCACCATGTAACTTCATGAGCAGCAAGGGCAGGACTGGGAAGGAGAGGACTGAACATAATTGCACATGTAAGCAGCATGCTCTGTGTGCTCCAGCACGCTCAGACTAACCACAAATGCACTCACAGCTCCAAAATTCTCCTGCAGCCACGTGGGAGCCCCAGCAAGCTGCACACCCAGGTGGGGGTGGCAGCACTCCATGCCCTCATAAAACCCTGTGGTGCTCCACATTAATTAAAGATCACAACTGCACCAAGGTGTGACTTAGAAGGCAACATTGTTATTATTATTCCTCCTGATTAAACAACAACAAAGCTGGCCTGTGATCAATATTAACATCAAAGTGAAGTTTCAAGAGCAAGAATACTCTGAGTCCACTGTCCAAACAAAACAACACTGCACCTCTAATATATGAGTTTCTCATGTGTGACTTCTCACATGACTACACCAGTAGGAATTCACCAATTGCTCTGGAGGGGCTGAAAAAGTCCCTGTAACTGTGGAGAAGTACCTGCAGTACAAATGAAGTAGTTCTTCAAGAATTTAATAGACTTCACTATTTGTAATGGTACCCAGAGAGGCTGCACACAGCCATTCCTTCAGACTGAAAAACTCTTGTTTCTTACTGAATGAAACCACAATATGTAACATCCAATTTATCAGAACAAGACTCTGGTGAAAGTAACTAGGAGATAATTAGCACACAATGGAATACAAATGGAAAAACAGACATGAGGGAAAAGAAAGATTTGTACATACATGCATGTTTTCATACCACAAAGGTGATTAAGATAATACTTAGAGTCCTCTTTACAAAGAAGTATTTTACTTTTAGTGCCCCTCCACTAGTCATGGCTTCCAGGACATACACCACTACATCCATGCCCACAGAAGAGAATTCCAAAAAAATCCCATAAAGTAGCTGCTCTCCTCATACACCCTTGTTTTCCACTCTTCAGAAAAAAAGGTCCCAGAAATAGAATATTTCACAGGAAAGGTCTTAACATGGATTTGTATACTATAGAAGAGTAATCAACACATTCCAAGCAAGTCTGCTTCAAGTGACCTAGCCACAGTGCTACATAAATCTGTTAACCATGGTATTTTTAGAGTCTCCCAACAAGGCTAAAAAACACTTAAATCTGAATTGTGAAATCTTATTTTAATTCAAGAAATCTGTTTTTTCCTCCCAGACAACAGGGATGGCAAAGAAAACTTGCTGAGCCAGAACAGCACATTCACAGGACACCCTGCTGCACATCTCCCTTGCTCAGCCTGTGCTTCCTTCCTGGAATTGAAGCAGGAGAGACATGAGCCCCATCAAAACACCTCTATCAGATCTGAACAGTCCTAAGAACAATTAGAGGCTGTCGGAGAGGAAACTGGAACTGCTCTGTCTGCACGCAGGGTGTAGTGCTGAACCTGCCTGTGCAGGGCTGAGAGGGGACAGCACAGGCACTGCCATGTGCTCCACTGGGACAGCACGGGGCATGAGGGGTCAGGGAAACACCTGAGTTACACACAGCACTGAAAACAGCCCAGCAAGGCAGGAGAATCCCAGTAGGACAAGCGATACCCTGAAATCCCATGCACACCTGATGGGAACAAGGCTGCACCTGAGGACTGAGGCATTCACACAATCCCAGTGGAAGGGACCACAGTGGGTCATCTGGGCCAACCTCCCTGATCAAACAGGGTCATCCCAAAGCACAGGATTGCATCCAGGCGTTCTTGAATACCTCCAGGAAGGGAGATGCCACAGCTCCTCTGGGCAGGCTGTTCCAGTGCACGGTCACCTGCACAGTAAAGAAATTCTTCCTCATGTTCAGGTGTTTCTTTCCATTGCCTCATCTCCTGGTGGTTGGCACCACCGAGCAGAGCCTGGTCCATCCTCTGGGTGCCTCACCTTTAGATCCTTGTGCACACGAATGATGTCCGCTCGCAGCCATCCCTTGCCGAAGCTGAGCACTGCTCAGGAGGCTGCAGCACCGGCACCTGTTCCGAGAGCCCTCCCATGGAACACACGGTGCCCTGCCTCACACACCGCATCTCCATCTTCCGCTGAGGGCACTCGGAGAGGAAAACCCTCCAGGGGGTGAGCTGGGATGCTCCAGCTCCCGGGGCAGCTCAGGGAAGGTGCCCTCACCGCTCTGCCCACCGAGACAGGCCCCCGAGTGCCGCCGGACACCGGGCGAGGGGCGGGCAAGGACAGCGGGGCAGAGGGGGACAGCCCGCCCGGGGACAGGGCTGGGGCAGAGGGCAGTGACAGCTCAGGGACGGCCCGCGGCGGCACCTACCGTGTACTCCCGCACTTGGCTGTGGAAGTTCTGCTCCCGGATCGTCACCTCGTCCGCTTCCATCCTTCATAGTACCGCGGCCCCCGCGAGCAATGGCGGCCGCCGCCGCCGCGCCTGCTCCTGCCCCGCCGGCGACGAGCGGGCCACCATGGCCGGAGGCAGCCCGGCTGCTCCCCCGGGCCCCGGCAGCGGCTGAGGAGCCCCGGCTCCGCTGCTCTGTCCGGCGGGCGCGGAGGAGGAGGAGGAGGAGGAGGGAGGAAGGGCGGGAAGTGCCGCCTCAGCTCCTCCTGCTGCGTCACCGCGCAGCGACCCCGGCGGGGGCGGGCAAGGGGAGGGCGGGGTCAGACCGCGGGGGGCGTGGCTTAGGATTAAGTAAAGGGCGGGCGAAGTCACACCCGGGGGCGGGGCCAAAGGGAGAGGGGGGCGGGAGTTGGGCGGGAAAGGGGCGTGGCTGGAGGGAGGGGGCGGGGCCTGGGGCGCGGCTGGTTCAACGGCAGGGTCGGGTTTCAGAATCAGGGAATTGTTCAGGCAGGAAAGACCCCCGGGATCATCGGGTCCGCGCTATGTCCCAACATCACCGTGTCAACTAGCCCGTGGCACTAAGGACCGCGGTGTCTTTCCTTAAACACTCCCAGGAACGGTGACTCCCCCAGCTCCCTGGGCAGCCCATTCCAATGGGTAATCTCATTATTCCCTGTTCCCTCTACATGCACGGGAAATCTTCTGAGTTTGCAAGTAGATCAATTGTCTAAATACACATGGAAGACTATTAATCTAGGACATACTATAAATTATAGATTGTGATTTAGCAACTCAAACTGTTATTTCAATCCAGGTATATATCATTAGTCTAAAGAAGTTTCAAAAATAAGGATCATAATTTTCTTAATTCTTGGCTTATTTACAACTATTGATACATTATACATGTTGTCAACGCCAATTATAATTCCAATTATATTAATTCCCCAGTCTCTGGCCCATTTTCTTGGTTAAAAGCAGATGGTAAACTATTTATGAAATGTTAGAGTTAGAAAAAGTAATCTTTGATTAATGTATTCCTTGTAGTCCTGAATGGATGCAGAAGGTCCTGCAGCTTCAGTATGGCCACAGTCCCACCCTTGTTCTTTCGACACTTGTGAAGGCACAGACAAGGTATTTGCAGGCACAATCACACCAGGGGTGTGACAGGCCAGAAATGTTCCTGTGCTCTCTCCTCTTGAAGCTCACTGCTCAGGGAAGGAGACTTTAGGTGTTCACTGTGGCTGTAGGAACAGAATACCATTAAAAACAGAGTGGAAGGAGCAGGGAGCAGTCTCTGAGCTGCTTCTTGGGAAAAGCTGTCCTACTTTACAGCTGTTTTCTGCACAGCACTTGATTCTGTCTGGTATTATTACTTGTCTGGGGTTTTCTTCTTTGCCTGTTCCCATTTATCTTCAATCTCCTTTTCTTCTTCACATGCTGAAAGTGATGAAATCATCTCTAGTTTCCAAGATGAATTTGACAAAGGATTAAGCTTTTAGTTGAAGCCTAGTTCTAATTTTGACTAGAATTAGGCTAGTGCTGTTCTCTGCTCAGGAGCTGGTCCAGACTGAGCAGTCAGGGCAAGGTTATAGGTAGACAAAATCTCTTTTATTATAACAAACACAGCTGGCAAGAGCAGACAACTGTCTGGCATGTGCAAACCTGACCCCAGGGAAACCAAATTCTCTTAGAGCTGCCTATAGAAGTATTGGAATAGAATAGACAGGATCCCAGCTCTCATCATCTCATATAAAAACCTACACAATAAATGACAATGGTATTGGAGTCAGGCTGTTAGGAACAGGATGGATTCAATGGATTTGTGATGGAGAGAGAAATGCTGACACCAGAGCAAAGCCACTCTAAGAACTTGGGAGAGCAGATGGCCCAGCCAAAGAGGAAGAACAGGAACAACCAGAGATTCAGCCAGCAGTCCAAGCCTGAGGGGAGGGTTAGTTCCTGAGCTACCTGGGAAATGACTCAGCCACTGCCAAGAAACAGCAATTCAAGCATTTCTAACTTTGCCTGCAGACATATTCAACACTGGAAGATTGCAAGGAAAATTAACTGTATTTTGGTAGCTTATAGAAATCGAAATTTAGAACACCTGAAGCTTCCACTCCCATGTGGGCAATATGTGTTCTTTTCAATTTACTGAATTTGAAGTAAACGTAAGGAGGAGATATAGTACATAATTTGTTTCATACTGTAGACTGTCAAGTTCTTTCTTCCAGTTCTAGCAGATGAATCATCAGAAACGACATACACATTTATATTTACTGAAAAGGTAGGGGAGGGGTGGAAATAGCTTCCATCCTTTCTTGGGCAGAAGTTACTGCTCAGTTCTGAGGTATCTACATCACAAAGGAAGGTCAGAGTAGCCACCATAGCAAAATCTATTTATACCACAGGAAATTCAGTCTAAAGTAGGCAGCTCTTGCAAACTGATGCATGTATTGATCTGATGGGAGTACAAAAGTAGTAATTTGAAGCATACTAGATGTAAAACTACCAAAGCAAGTCTGTGGTACTTTACACCAGAGAGTGGTTAAAAGTCCTCCAGGGTGTTGATCATGGTATAAAATAAACAAAATGTTATCATAATTATGTACATTAAGCTTATTAGGTGATTTTTTTTCAGTGTCTTATATGTGGTAAGCTAAAGCATAGCAAGAATTGCATTATAACTTTAGAAATCCAACTCAGTCTTATATCTGGATTCAGCTTAAAATATTGCTGACTGACATTTCATTTCTATTAATATCTTATACTTTTTTATTTCTTTGGGTCTTTTAGAACAAAAAAGGAGGGCTTTTTTTGGTTCCAAATATTTCCAGCCCATATTTTCATTGAGTCAACCCAGTAACAACAACTCCCCAGATAAATGTTGTATTATAGCACAATATATTTATTTTAACTTTTTGAAACAGCAAAGGGAAAGAAATTTAAATTAAGAATTACAATGTTGGCATGAAAAAAGAGGATATAAACTAGTTTGGTATAGACTCACATAGGCATGCGCTGGACTTTATATATATATAGTCATAAATGTATTGATGAATATATATTCCCCCCAAAAAAAGAAAAAAGCACAGTCAAAGTATTCCCATTTTGAACAAGCTTTTAAAATTAACATTTTAGTAAAAATATACACCATTTATAACTTAAAGTTGGTTCACTTGTAAAAAACTAAGTGAGATTGCTTTCAATAACAAGGAACTGGATTTAGGAATGAATAAAACCTCTTTGAATCCTTAAGTTTCCTTCACTGACCGGAGCCTAGAGTCAGAAAACCTGCAGAGTTTATTAAGGTCGGAGGCATAAACTCTGCAGGAGTTCAGTGCTGTCAGGTAAAGGAAGCATAAGTCACATCATGAAGCTAGAACAGTTTCTCTTCCATATCTAGGCAGCATGAAGTGACTGGAAGCTCACTTTGCCTCCATTCACCCTTAATGGGTTTTTCATGTCCTCAAATCAAAACAAAGCAAAACTCACACCACATTGCAGCCTCAACTTGATTAGGAATAAAATGAAAGGTAATATTCAAGGATATGCGGCTGCATCTGCCAGCCAAAGTTCACTTGCTGTGCAGATATGAATGAGGCCAGGGTCATCTGTTCCATGCTCTGTGGCCATGGCTGTTTGGGCTGATTCTTCAAACAGGTATTTATTGGTAAAATTCTGGAACTGCTGTCTGGGTCAGTGTTGTTACAGAAGAACCAAAGAACTAAATCAAATTAAAAAAAAAAAAAATAAGTGTCCCTTTCACCAGTCTATGTCTGGTTTTAGCTCAGAAATTAGTGTTAGACTCAATCAGCCTCTGAAAGGCATTCAGCTAGAGCAGATGGATGAAAACAGTGAAAATTCATTACTTCTCCTTATGGTGTGCTCACTGTTTAATTCCTGCTAATCACAATTCTCCTCAAAATCTCCTTTTCAGTCAGTTAAAAAGATTTACTCTAAGTAAATTTACCCTTTGAAGATTTTTCTTAACCGTGAACTCTTTTTTTTCCTTTCATCCCTGAATTGTCTCCAAACTTTTAACCTTCTCATTAAAATGCAGACACGAGAACTGAAAGCAGTATTCTAGGCTCAGTTTCAGCAATTCTATGAAGAGATGTAAAATCACCTTATTTTATGCTTTGTTACAGACCATTTAATCATTACAGAGGAAAACAGCACACAGATTCAGAGGTGAAACACACGATTGCTTCCCAGAAGTAAATGGAATGTGCATTTGAAGACACTTGTATCTACTCCTGTCTCTCTACTGTCAGAGGCTGTAGGTAAAAGGCTGCCTTGTGGTTTTGATTGCCATGTCCACTTACTTCCTCACAGAGAGTAAGGCCAATTTTAGGGACATTTTAATCCAAATGCTATAGCAATCATTTCCTTGACACAGAAATTAGTGGTTTCCTCTGAACTTCACTCATACCAATGAGCAGCAATCTGTAATTTCTATTCTGAATCACTGCCCTGCAGATACAGCCCTAGTTCTGTAGAAAGGACCTCAGCCCCTTGTTCCTGGCGCATTCATGGGCTTTTGACTGAATTCAAGCCTCTTCTGTTTTCTGCTTCCCAAATATTTCAGATTGCTCTGTATGATGAGATCATCCTTTGTAATTTACCACTCCCATTTCCAGTATTTGCCAGCATTTTTGTGTTATCTGCAAGTAGCATTAGCAGTGATTTGTCAACCAGAATAAACACATCCTTTAAAAAATGTCATTACTGTCTCTGTGGGGCTTTTTAAAGTTTTTCTTACTATTTTTTTCCTCATCTTTGGAAAGTTCCTGATGTACTAAGTACATAAAATAATTATTGTACTGGTTGCAAGTGTGATGTTTGCCCATATGTAACAGGACTTTGCCAAGATCATGGATTGGTTCCATAGCAACACCATAAGGGGATTAAAAGAATTATCCGAGAGTGAAGTCAATATGATTTGTGTTAGCAAATAATTGTTAGAAGCTTTAATGCGGTTTTACCACTGGCTGAATTGCAGCACCAGAGCAATTTTCAGAGCAATGTGGCTCTGAAACCCAAGTGTCACAAACGGTTCTTCTGTTCTTCCAGGAGAGATGCTCTCTTCACTCTGCTTTCTTTTCAATTTAATGCCCACTTTTGAAGAGCCCACGTGGTCCCATTTC